AAAAGTTGTATTATCTGCATCACTCGTCTCTAGCTCCTACTCCTGCCAACTCTAATGAGCACCAGGTTTGATATACTTGTATCTCTTGCTATATTGTCATATCAGTTCCTGCTGCCTGCAGTTTCGAAACAATAATTATGTATTGGCAGACTTCAACAAAACACAGATTTTATAGTCTAGAGTCAAATCTAGCTCAGTAAAATGTAAGCAATCGATTGTCAGAGTTCGTGTCTCGGTGACAAACGTATTTGGTGGAGCCCAGTTATGCATCTATTTTAATCACCACAAAAAGCAATTCCTGATTAGATTTCCAACCAGCTCGGTGCAAGCTAGTTTGTCATTAAGAAACCAAACACATCAGTTTTAATCTAATTAGCTGTATGATAACCAACAGAAATAGTCAGCAGCATCAGTGAAAAAGTGGAGCAGGGTTAAAATGCAGCTTGGATGCATTGTAGAAACAGATGACAGCAGTAATGAACATGGAAACCTTGAGAATTACTGCTAAAACTGTGCAGTAAATAAATCCTAAAATGAAATGTCAGCTGAAACGGTTAGCATCATTTGTCACTCATGTAATTTAATCCTAAAGGAGTACATCAGGTTTTCCTCATGAATTTTTACCATCAAGATTTCTAACCAGACAAACTATGGAGATGACAAACTTTGGAATAATTTAGAATTAATATATAATATTTAATCTGGTCTGATAAATTGATTTTGCATCATAAAAAAAGCAACACCGCTTTAAGAGAGTTTACGTGTAGATCCAGAAATTATTTGCTTGTAGATTGTGCTAAACCATTTTGAATCTGTCAAGACCATGCCAGTCACTGCATATTTTGCAATTCCTCATTCGTACTAACTGTGGAGACCTAAAGAGGATTTTAATGGAAAAGTCAGACATGTCTGGCTGATGAACATCTCTCAGCTGCCGCCATTACTCCAAAGGACTTGTCTCATGTGGCCTGAAGATAATTTTCTTGTTGAGTGAGCCTGGGTGCTCAGGCATTTCTATGCTCTGCTGATATCCTTGAGTTCTTAAGGATTTTCAAATTAATTGATTTTGACTCTTTAGGGACACATAAGAGCAAAAACACTGTAGGAAATAGCCAAGAGTTCAGTGGGACTGTATAGCATGAGGGTTTGTTCTGTTCTTGTGTTTGTATGCCACCTAATTTTCTCGAAGATCTATTCAAATTCATTTGCGAATAAAGTCATCAGTCTGCATCTCCATATTTATGCAATCATACTCATGAGAGCTTCTGCCAGACTTCTAGCATGAGAGTAGTTGCTTTGATATTTTTTTTTATTGAATAAAATCAAAAATGGTAATAATGTTGTTTTGTTCTCTTAATGTTTTACCTTATTCTCATTGGCAAGGGCACATGGTGTAAGCAACAGGGAATATGAACAAATGAGTAGTTATAGGTTCAGTGTAATGAGGTGTAAGCTCTAACAATGACCTTGTAGCATTTTTTTATTTGTGTAATGATGTCATTTATGTAACAGTTTAAAATAAGTATGGTGTCTATGCTATTATTGCAAGCAGTTCAAAAGGAAAACGCTTGTGCAGGCACGCTGGTATGAGATTAAAAACTCGATTCTTATCCTTGTGACACAGTTGAGTGTTTGCTTTGTGTCTCCTTGGTGTATGAAAATAGATTTAAACATTGCCTTTTTCATTCAACTGTTTTATGAATTTTACAACATAGTGCACATAATTATCTGCCTCAAGGTGTACCTTGAGGCAGATTATTTTGGAAATTTTGTTGAAGAATTCAACGTTGGGAGTTTCACAGTTCAGAGACTCCACATGTGCTGGGCATAAAGATATGGCCCAAACTATGATCTTTGGTGATATGCTCCAAATCTTTTAGGTCAAAAGGTCCGCTGGCCATTATTCTAATCCTTCATACTCCACAGATTATCTATCAGATTAGAGTCAGGAGTCGGACTGGGCCACTCAAGTCACAAGGACCATTTAGGTAAAATAAAGTTTACTTGAAACGTATATCTTCCAGCTACATGAATGATGTTCACCTTAAATGTAACCTCCACTACAACAGAGTAACACATATTTTTTCCAGTATAATTTTTTTAAATAATTTGTTTTTGCATAATAACCATATTTTTTCCAGTATAATTTTTTTAAAATAATTTGTTTTTGCATAATAACCTTTCAACAAACAATTGTTTATCTTTGATTTGCAAAATGTTAAAACATATACTTTGGTATGATAGCAAAGGTGAAAAGATCCGCGTAAGTGTGAAAACAGCTTTAGAGAGCAGAACAAAGGCTTAAATTGTACTCCACATACTAGCTTGACTCTTCAATTTGACTGGCAGTTTGTTTCCTGTGAACATCTGGGGTCCTTGCTAAAAGTTGAGAAGCTTGGAAGCTAAGCACAGCAGTGTGAAGGGGCGAGCCTGCCATCTGCCAGACACTATTATCTCTCCCTGCACACACTCATGAGCTGCATCAGACTTAAGGTTTCTGCAGAGAAACACTCCCATAAAACAGCAGCCAAAATAATAACAGTGTCAGTGTTTTCAAATTAAGTGCTGCTCTCATCTCAGGAAGCCATATGTGGCATGCAGACATATAGTGCAGGTTTCAATCCTGCCTGTACATTGACCGTTTTTTTTTTCCCCCACTCCCTCTTCTTGTTTAAAATATGTCTTTCTCAATAACACAAGGAGAAACCAAATAAAAAAATATAAAAAAGCAACGTTATGAAAACAGAATTTGAAATGGCAAATAAAAGCAGACTGTTGTAGCTAAGATATTACCTTTTCTGTACCTCGATAGATATTTTCATCTATTCGTCCAAACAAAATACCATCAGTGTATACAGAGGTGTTTCAACACCTTTATTAGAAATCTGAACTATTCTCTGTTTTGACTTTATAGGCAATAAAAAAAGTTTTCCACTTCCACTGCACTTCAGAGAAGCTTGCAGACTGTCTGATCCATAAGGCATGTAAAATTAGGGAGAACAAATTGGCCTTCTTTAATGCCTATATGGAAAAGAGGCCAATACACCTTTCCAATTTATTCAGGCTCCAGGTGCAGAAAACAGATGTGGTCAGTGAAACATGTCTGGAGTACTGACATGGAGACGAGGCAAATGATAAAGAGAGATGAGTAGAGAATGGCTTTCCATCAGCACAAATCTCTCATCAAATCTGGGATTTCATCAACTCTACAATCTTCATCCATCACTCTCCGAGCTTATCAGGGACCTGAGACATGCATTGTTTCTCTGAAAAAGCGCTACATCCCGAAATCAAAATACTGCTAACATCTGAGAAAACTAAAACATCTTTTAAAAGTGTCCATCCACTTGGAGTCTTCGGGTTGTAATTGCTGTTGTAAATAATGGCAAGATCATTACAATTTGGCCAGGATTTGGAAAAAGGAAAGCAATTATTTTAATTTCAAAGTGAAAACAAAACATGTCACTTCATAAATATCAAAAAAGATGACAGGAGTGATTGCTTAAATATATACCGCATGTGACATTAGATGCATCACTGGGTGCCCTGAGTCGGACTGGATACGTCTCACTCAGGCTGGCACATCTGGTCAATCAACTTTTCCGAACAAGCTCAAGTTTTGTCAGGTGGCTTCGGGATCAATCTTTTTTTATGTTCACCATAAGAATGTAATAAGAATCAGATCTGGTCTTTGAACTGGGAGCACCTCAGTGTCCTACTTTATCTCTTTCTGAGTTGCTTTGCTGTTTATGTGGGGTCACTGTCTTGTTAAAAATCATATATCCTACTGACAGACAAATCAGACCATTCTCTTTGGCAATATTTTCTGTTTTCCCAGTCCCTGCAGCATAGAAGTACAACCAGAGCATGATTCTGCCACTGCCAGGCTTCATGGTGGACAGAGTTTTTGTTGATGATGTCTGCTTGTTGGTATTTGTTGTGCGATTGAGCTGCACGGCTTCAGAAAAAATAAACAACTATGACAATGTTGGTGAAAGAAAACATTGTCCAACATGTTGTATTCATTAATATCTTCTGCTTATACAGAGTCAGATGGGGGGCAGCAGCCTGAGGAAAGAAGCCCAGATTTCCCAGCCACTTGGACCAGCTCCTTTGGAGGAATCCCCAGGCATTCCCCAGCCAGCCAAGAAATGTAGTTCCTTCAGTGTGTATTTATGCATGGTTTAATTCCACTACAGTTCATGGTTCACAGACGACTCCATGACTTCCAGCAACGATTTTCACAACAGCCTTGTTGGGAAAAGGGACAAAAATCTCTAAAAATTTTTAACTAGACAAACGTGAGCATTTGACTGTACAACTCCCCAATCATACCAGTTGCCAGACACCAAGGGAGTGCTGAGTTTTTGCAAAGTAATGTAAATTTTTGTTAATCCCACATTGGTAGCTGATCAGATTTGGGGTCAATTCTTTTGAAACATTGAGGACAATTTGCTCACATTCCAATGACCATATCTGATTTTTTATTTCTGTATTTGACATTATTAGAAAGCTTAGAATCCACATTTTCAAAATCTGTATATAATTCAAAATGCCCCAGGGGAGACTTGCTTTCAATTTTGTTGTGGCTAGTCACAAATTAACCTGATGTTTTGGAAAGTTGAGCTTTGACAGTTTTATTTGCTACAGTCAGGCCTGTTGAACTACAAAAATAAAATAAATAAATAAAATTAATGACAACATAAAGTAGGCTAAAAGATCTCAAGAAGCAGCATTTAAGTTTATATTTACTCAAGTTATCCTTGTCTATTTATCTGAAACATTTCATTGAAGGAATAAAATAGAAGAAGTCTTACCGCTTCCCATGGTGAAATCTATATTTCTAGATTTAGATACAGTATTTCAAACTGTGTTTGCGTATTTGGGGTGAAGTAAGAAACTGAACATTAACAGTATACAATGACAAAATCTGTCTCACAACCTGTGAGATGCTTGGACAAAATAACCAAAATAATGAGCAATGTTTGCATGTTTCTTACCTGAGGGGTTGAGCAGCCGCCAGGTGATTAGAGGGTCCGGCCTGCCACTTGCCAAACAGCTGAGTGTCACATTACTGCCCTCATTTACAATGATGTCTTCTGACACCTTGTAGATTGTAGCTGGAACTGTGGACACAAGAGAGTTGATGTGTGATTGCACTGAAGCTAGAGTATAAATAATCTCATGAATGTTTCACATAACTCAGAATACATTTTCACATAAGGCAAGTAATGATATAAAATAGGGATGACAATGAAAAGAATGTATTGCTCTTGAGAGGTTAGGTGGGTTTATAGAAAACTTTTCCAGTTAAATTTTGCCTTTAGAGGTTGTTACAAATAATGTGTTGAAAACAAAGATCTCAATAAGCATTTAATCTTCTGCCCTGGAGCCCTAGCTCAAATAGACAGATTGGTTCTTTTGTCCTGTGGGAGATCCTACAGTTGTTTACTGCTGATTTTGAGTCAAACATATCTTGAGAAGGCGAGCTTTAATGCATGATTCATAATGTATAGGTTAAAGGTTGAGTTTACCTTCCTTTTTGTATTCAGGGGTGTCTGATTATTATTCTCCTTTGCAATCTCTGTTTACTCTGGCCTCCCAGTCCTGTCACTTTTAATGAAATAAAACATAAATAAGTAAAAAATAAAGCTTCAAAATGAGAGATTTGGGAGGAGAAACGAGCTCTGACATATTCTGAGCATAGAAGTGATAAAGCAAGTCATCAGCTAGCATGTAATCAATCATGACTGATGCAAAGGGCATTCATCAAGAGTTTCAGAACTCTAAAGTGGCATAGATGAATAATGGTAAAGCAGAAATGCAGCCAGAAATAATGATGAACAACGGTGGATATAATGAAGTTCATTCATGTTTGATTTAGATCAAATAAAATACCTTTTATTCATAATCTAAAACATTGATTATGGAACTACTTGAGGTTTTACTTCGCAACATTGAATGAGTTTGAAAATCTAAACTATTTTTTTCTGATCTGAGCCCATCTTTACAGGCTAAAACTTGCCTGTCCTTCAGTGTGACCTCATAATATCAGAAAACAAAGCAATACCCATGTGCAGTCTAGTCTGAATGCAGGTTTGCCTTTCATACTAATATTGACAGTGAAAATATTTCACTGCAGTGGTCATGCAGCCCATTATTTCCAAGATTAAAATAGTATTTGCTTTATGGATTCTGGGAATTACAGAAAAATTCACCAAAGTTATATCATAAACTCCAATGCTGGGTGTATGCTGTTCAGACTGAAGTTAGGTGGCATGGAAGCAAAGAAAAAAAAAAAAAAAACAGCCCTTTGTTTTACGCTTTGCATTGAGAATTGAACCAGGACCTTTTCATTCTATCATTTTGACAGATGCGGTCAAAAGCATTCGATCATAATCTACTTTTAAGTGTCATTTTTAAAAATAATTACAATGACATTTAACTGCATATACTTTTCACTCAGTTTAATCAATGTTCAACAAGCTGAACATTGAGTTCACATAACTCAAATTGACAATTAGAAGTCAGCAAGACTCTCTGGAAGAGGCGCAGCAGACCCGCTCCAAACACTCTGTAACTGTCTGAGACACACAGAGTTCATTGTCCAGGACAGAGATGATAATTAGATGGGATTTATTTTTATTGATCGATTTTATTGGTGTTTGAAAAGAGACTTTAGTTCATTATAGAATATTGGAATACAAGTTTGTATTTAAGCATTAAGCTATTGAAAGCAATAAACAAGGTTTACAATTTCACCAAAGAATTGATGAAATCAATAGACATGTTTTATTGTATCCAGTGTTGTATATGGAGCATAAATTTTGTTATTCTAATTTTATTGTTTCCAATAAATAGACCTTAAAGAAATGTTATCTGTAATTTACTGTATGACCGTTTTCATTCCTGCACATTGGTTTGATATTCTCATAACAAGTTGCTTCCTGGTAAGAAAACCAGATTTTTGTGCTGAAAGTGAGATTGTAACAAGGAAGACAAACATGAGCAATGCACTCTTCACCATCAGAGCAGGCCAGTCACATGTGGCAGGCATGAGTGGATACTCGAAAGCTTCCACAATGAGTATTCTCTTTGTTGCTCTGTTTGCCCTAAATTAAGATTCCCATTGGAGAGCAGGACCGCTCAAACTGCTGAATAAAATGTGATAGGAGTCATCATTGAAGTGTCCTTGTATCCTTTAACTTGTTTGCAGTCTGATGTTTTACAAAATACTGTATATGATTTTAAAGTCACTTAGGATGGTCTCTGATCACTATTTTCAGATATTTATGAGCAGCTCTCAACCTTCAACTAACTCTCCATAGTGAAGGTAATGTTCGGTCATAGGGCTGTATAGAATTGCAAATACATGTCGCTGCTTTATGAAATCGGTTTCACTTTTTCAATATTTACAGTATGTATGGCCATGGATAGATGGAACTTCAAACCTTGTTTGATCAAGCAAATGAATCACAGGACTAATTTCATAGTTGAGCCCCCGATTTTTTTTCCATTATGGAAATAAAATCCTACAGCATGTATTAAGGTTTTGAGAGTTCTAAATTGGATTTTAAGCCATTTTGATTATCACTGAAGGCTACCATTGCACCATTGTACTTTTCTTGTTTAGAAAAAAATTGCAAGAAAAACTTTGCAAGAAACAGATCTTCTATTTTACACTGCATGAACCACTAAATGGGGTAAAGGAAGTACTTTGCAAGACAGGCTTTGGAGACTGCCAGTGTAGCAGTTTTTTGAGTCTTCAATATCCCCATTTATTACCATCTGCCAATGCCAAGGACGAAGACAAAGAGTGCTGCTTTTGACTCATTCTGCAGATAAGACACACAATGCCACTTCTGACGTACATCATCAGGAGCCTGAAGTATACAGGAAAAGAATAATGTTGACCCTTTCCCTATTTGACACCAGCTGTTTGAGGTTCATATTTTAGTTCATCAGGGCCAGTGCCTCTCTCCACAAGGAGATTAGTCCCTTTTGTTGCTCAAGAAATAGACAACATGCTGTCAAAAATTTGGTTTCAGGGTGCCACATTAATTTAGTCTAGGCTTCACTTTAAGCTGGAAAGAATTTTCTTCAAGGTACAATTTCTTTAAGACAGGCATTTCAGGTTTAATTTTGCCTCTTTGGAAATGTCTAAAAAATCTTCTTTGTCAAAAAGCCTGTGCTGGTGTGTATTTCTTTCTGACACTCGTGACAAAATATTTTGTAAAAACAGAAAATTTATTTTTAAAGTAGTTTATTCTGCCTCTACAAGCAGCAATAGAAATGTTTCAACTATTGAAATCCAAGTTGTTTCAACTAGGCTCTTTATAAGACTTATGAACAAAATATTGCATGTTATTGTTGATTGGTTTTAGTTTTGCTGTAAATCTGAGGACTACTAAAGCTGCTTCTAGTAGGTCACCTAATTGTGAAGGGTTATCCTTTGCCAGTTCCTTTGCTGGATGTAGCTCTTGTCACTAGTAAAACTTTCTCTCTCACCCCGTCCTGTGGGAATACTCTTAAATAAAGGCCATCAATGCAAAAAATGGATGGTGATAAATACATGTCAACCATAGAATAAATAACACTGCAAAAAACAAAAACAAAAAAAACAACAACTTGATGCTATGGCATAAAATCATCTTCTAACTTGACCATAACATTGAACATACAAGAAGAGCTAACATCAACACATTTCCATGTGTTATTTAGCCCAGTCAAACTCATGAGCCGTAAATTAATGAAAAACCTGTGTCACAAAAATTGAAGATCGCAGTTCATAGTTGTTCTAAACTCAAAAAGCATAAGATATTTGGGTGTTTTGCAGCTCTTTTGCAGAAATGAACCAAAGGAAAGTTCAGACAACAGATATATATATATAATACATGTCTCTGTGAACTATTGACACCAAGAGGTTGGGAGCTGAATTCAAATGCATTCACATTTTTTATATGCAAAATATCTTGAAAGCAATTTAATCCTTCCCCTCTACAATTATATGCTGCTTTCTAAGACTGGAAATCCTAATTTAGTATTGAGAAGTTAATGATTGTAGTCTTTTTCCTGATGTCTCCAAATCAACATCAATAGCACTGCGTGAACAGCACACATTTAAAATCTATGCTGAAAGCTTTCAATGATATGGCGCAAAACAGTCATTTGTGAGCAATGTATCATGTGGGAATTGTTGTTTTCTAAATCTGATAGTGTTGAACTCATTGCTCATTCCTTCATATTGACCGTATTTTCAAAGAAACGGTTTTTCAATCTCTGATTCCCCAGCAAGGGTATTATTGGAGCTTTATCTCAGCACAACAACACTAACAGCTTTTTCCCATCCACCATCCCTCCATCTCTCTGTCTCTCTCACTCACACACACAACGCCCCGCTGGAAACCATCTGCCTAATACCAACTGACAGGGCAGTCACAATCATGCCACGCAGCATCTTCACCGAAGTCATACGGAGTTATTGCTGTAGTCAAATGACCTAGCAGAAATGAAGATGTGCTTTCCAGATGTGGCAAAATGAAACAAGGGTTGCTGAGGAGGGGGCCTCTGCACAGAAGTGACAAAGTACCAAATTGCCAATTGTTTTTTATGTGTATATTTTATTTATTTTCATCTATAAATCAGCTGCTGGGGTCTTGGTGGGGAAAACTGATGAGTGGGAGGTGTGACTGGCAAATAAATCTTCAGAAGCTGATAAAATAAATGGATCGGGAGGAGATACGACAGCTCATGCTGCGATTATCCTGTCGCATATAAAAATGGGGAAGGAGGGACAGAAGTGTGGGCGAGAAACGAAGACGGAGAAGACATGAGAAAAGCATAACAATGGGGAAAAAAAGAAGGGTGAATGACATTTCAACTCGTGCGGCCGTACAGCGCCTGGTGTTCAGCTGTCGGCAGTGACAGGGGGCGGGTGAGGGCGTGATCATAGGTCAGCCTTCAAGGAATATCTGTGGAAAGGGCAGCTAGCTGAAAAGCACTTCTCCGCCAAAATTGCAGGAAAGATGGCGTGCACAGTTTGCAAAAGTTTTACCAATGAAATGAGTGATATAAGATATTTAATATTCCAATAACTGTTTGTTCTTTTCAGACTCTTACTTTAGAG